CAGTAAAGAAAAACCTCCATAACTCCGCTCAGAGAATCGTTCTGCAAATTTTGAAGACAGTTCTGAGTTCACCGTGTCAAGATGAGTACAGTGATGTGCATCTCATTGCAAATGGCCAAGGCGTAAATGCGGTTACGGCCCAGCTGAAGAGCTAGTAATCGCGGTCAAGACTACGTGATCTTCAGAAACGTGCCGTCAGAATTTCCAAGAACACTAGAGAGGACCTTCGAAGGAACGGAGTAGGGTTTCAAGTGATCATAGTGACCTGACCAAAAGCAATTTCATGTCGTGGACGAGGGGCAACCTGATCAGGATACCGGCACGAGCCCCTGAGAAGCGCTCGTAAGTAATGCTCATACTAATCGGAGTGGGCATATTTTATCGGCCATGGTTCGGCTTGCAGTAACGTTATTTAATGACATTATTTTGTCCATTCCTACTCTCCTTGTAATGATTTCGCCCTATGACGTGGATTGTTCCAACGTTCACGCATATTAGCGAATGTTGCTTGCTTCACGCCGCCGATATATTCAGGCCAAAGCCGACGAACGCATTCGTGACAAAAAAAAGTAGTCCGAAGATTTCGCTCTCGGAGTTTGAGAGGAAGCAGAAAATTTCTAGCGCCCGTCACTTTCTCATATAAAACTTCATTCGTACTCATTCAATTTGAGAGCTGAAAAGGTGATTTTCACCTCGTCACTTCATCGTTTGTAGGGGGAGCTGAGACAGAACCGCGTTCGTGGTAGCCCAGGCTCCACAGCACCGAGAGACTTTCGGTGGCTATTGGACATAAGAACCTTTCACTAGAAATTTCGAAATGGAGTGGACATGTAGTTGAAAGCAGCAGACTTTGGTGGGCACAAGGCTTTTTGCGCTGAACTGCACTTGTCATAATGCGGATGAGGATTTCTCCCTCAACCTGAAAGAGAAACCTGAAGGCTTGGGAGAGGGAGTGAACCATTTACTCGGTGAAACGAGGTAATGCCGTTCTTCCCTCTCCCCACCCCCATTTCACGCTTTTTTAGACCTAGAACTAGAACTCGCATACAGCCCTATCGCAATGTAAAACTTCAATCTTGAATGTTTCTTGAAGAGGTTTGAGGGCCTCCTTATCATTCTAGCCAGCTCGAGCTCGCTATCGAATTCTCCCTTCTTTTTTTTGGGGGGGGGGAGGGGGCGACAATCCCCAAAAGGGGGGGGGTTGTAAGGAATCGAGATGTGCTAGATGATCCCAACCAATGAGCAAGTACCGACTGCCCTCCTCCCGCCCGCTTTTACAACGTCCGTGAAGCGAGAAAAATCAAGTATTAAAATAAATTTTTCTCAGCTCAAATACGTCCTCTCCCTCTCTTGGTGGCCAAATGCACCCCCCCGTTGGTGATATCCCCAACAACGATGTGCCGCCTGTTTAACAAGAAACACGTAAGGATACAGACTGCGCAGATAAAGCCATGCTCTTTGAAGTGGCCCTTTATTAGGGTTTGCTCTACAAGTGTCTGATTTCCACCCTTGTTTTTCCTATTTCAATATCCAATGCCTCTCTAGCTTTGCTAGCCGCGACCTTTTCGAACGGAGCAACCCAGCAGCGAAAAGCGCCCTCTCAGTGGTGGTCAGCGGCTCTGTCAAGGCCACAGGGTCACGCGTCATCAGTCAATTACACTGATTTTCATTTGTGGCAGTCTTTATGCCCAAATCGCGAGAAGTTCCCGAGTTAAAGGTTTTTTGTGTTGTATACCATTTCTTCCCGCGGCAATCATCGTTGGGTTCCATTTTGGCCTAGGCCAAAGTGTTCCCCAACCCGAGGAAATGTTGACTGGAAGTTGTTGGCTCACCACGAATGTCAGCGCTACATACTCATTTGATTTGCCTTTACTCCAGCGTTTGCTATGCTGAAAACAAATCTTTTTGTCCATTCACATTTATATGATGATTTTCAGTCTTCATCCGGGCACTTGATTAGGCGGCCAAAGGGTCGCGACGCGGATGCGGCGCGTTACGACCACGGCGATCAGCTGTTTCTAGCCTGTTAGCCATTTTCTCCCTGATTTTCATTTTCTTTTGCCGCTTTTCTTAAGGTTAGTTATTCCTTGTCGGAGAAAAGAACAACTATGATTGAGTATCTTTAATGTTTTGCGAACAATGGAGCAATTAGCAAACAGTTCAAACAAATATCCCGAACATTGCCAAAAACACTGTTCATTACAAATACAAAAAAGCGAAGACCACGTCCTACTAAGGCCTCCATAAAGGGAATAACGGGGATAGCAACTTTACCTTTGAGAAAAATAGGAAAATATTCAGTGAAATTAGGGACGAAAAATGGCTGCAGGCTGAAACATCGATCGCCGGCGGGTAGTGACGAGCCCGCCGCAGCCGCTAAGCAACGGCGCTTTACGCCTCATCAAGTGCCCGCGGATGATCGAATGTAACGGAGAGAGTACGTTACAGGCTACTTATCATTTGTTCGCAGAGTAATACCTGATGGAAGAAACAGATCCTGTGCAACTAAAAGATGGGTTGAATTCATCACTGCCAAGCTTCCAGCTGAATAATGTGAGGCATTTCACACGGAGAAATTTTCCCCACAGCAAATTCATACCCTATACAGAAGTTTTTGTGTAGGTGTCAACAACCTATTGCACCAGTACCAACAAATACCGGCACATATTCGTGTTTGAAGTAACTGTACTCGAACTCAGCGAGACAACAGTTCAGGTAACCTTTCCGTATTAACCCGATATATAGCTCTACTGACTCTTCTACGTAACGCGAGTTATTTTTAGTTACTACTTTGTTACAACTCTACATACCGTCGACAATGTTGGTGATCGTGTCGTGGGTTTCATTTTGGCTGGACAGAACAGCAGTTCCGGCAAGGGTAACACTCGGGGTGACGACTCTTCTCACGATGACAACACAGGTAGGACAACCTTTCGTTACTTGGTCTGACTCCTGCAGTTGTTCTGATTTTTGTAGGCATCTGGTATAAACGCCAAGTTACCACCTGTTTCCTACACAAAAGCAATCGACGTTTGGTTGGATTGGCGCCTGTCTTACCTTCATCTTTTGTGCTCTGCTTGAATTCGCTTGGGTCACCTACGTATCTTCGAGGAATTTCGCCAAAGGTAAGTTGGACACTTTTCGAATTCGGGCGTGCTATAGAGGAAGGAGTGGGTCAAAGAGGCCGTTTGAAAAGAAATTTAAATTGCCAGATGCGGTTCTGGGCCTTGATTATTTCCAATTCCGCTTTCATTAGTGCTGCGGGACCTGCTAGACGAAGCTACGGAGGTCTAGACGCGGGAGCATGACTACCCGCTTTGCATCACCTCGCAGCGTCGCTGGCCACGCCATGCCTTCGGTCCGATCAGGCAATTTATGGTGAAGCCACCGACGGTTTTTCTTAATAAGCTGCGTTCATATGTTGCGGCAGCGTCTACCAGCTACCACCAGAGTCCAACAGCGATTATTGGCGCTTCTAGCGTTCGTCAGCGTCGGCGACTATCAAAGTGTAGATGTCTATTTTAGCGAACGCAGCGTCCACCAAACGGCCCTGCCAGGGTCGCGTCAGAGACCATAATCAGGTCGAGCGACTAGGAATGGTACTGATAATCATTGTCTTACCAAGGTCCAATTAGCGAAAACGATTAGAGGGTAGGGTGAGTTTCGGAGGGTAGCAGCACTGCTGGTGAACTATGAGGAAGGTAGGAGGGAGGAAACAGCTGGATTAAGGCGCTTGTGAAAATGTGGGCCATGTGCTAGCCGCCACCATACACTGCGCAATACCATACTTCTGGTTTACTGGTGTACGGTGCTGGTCGCTGGTGGGCTGGCTAGATCAATATCAACATTTTCTTAGTCTCTCGAGACGCTGACGCAGTGTTCGCTGAGGGGCGCACTGCTGCAAGAGTAATGACGTAGACTGAGCGCTTTATTTTTGTCCGATCACTATGGGGTACTCGAGAACTCCAAGATACCCAAAACACTTTTCTGGATACGCTAACATGTGTCATGCGTTTCCGTTGATCCCAATCTAGGGCATCGGTGAGCTGCGAACACATGCGGCCTTGCGGGTGGTCTGTGTTCGATTGGCCATGTCGCGCCACATTCGAAGCTCGGAGGGACCTTTCGACAAAAGTCGTTGAAATGTGACAATTTCTGCACGAGAAAAGGCTCAGGACGCGTTTGCAGGGATCCCTATCTAGCGCATCGATGAGCTGTCGGACGTGCGCATTGAGGGTGGTAATGCGCACTAGCGTACAGAATGATGCTAAAAATAAACCTCTTCAACACACCGAAGCTCGGGAAGAGTCTTCTCGCGACCAAGTGCGCCAGAAATCAGCAGACGGCAGTTAATCAACTTCGACGACCAATAAAGTCAGTGTGCTCAAAAGTTTTTGATCGAACATCAAATAAACGATGTGTCCTTCCTTCCTAACGGCAGCTAAACTTTGCAGCCACTCGGAACGAGCCTCGATCGGGTTCTTTAGTCGTCGCTAACCAGCAAGTAGTACTCCCCAATACAGCGGTCAGTTTCAGTACTTCATTTATCACTTAGTAATTTGACATTGATCTATCGTGCTGTTAAGATTGATTTTCGATCAAACAATGCCAACGCTGAAACTGAAGTTTGGGTGAAGCGGCGAGAGTTCGATGACGCCGCCGAATTGTTGGTGCTCGGACCACGGAGGAATCCTAGCCCGGTGAGTACCCTTTGTTATAAATTCGAGCTAAGCAAGTAGGTTTTTGGGAAAGTCTGCAACACCATTGAGTGGCGCAATCCAGATGTACTGGTTAACACCATTTCCTCCAACTTAAAAAAAGGTAGGGCCTTTCGGAGTTGGCCAGTTCTGTTTGGGACGCGTCACTAATTCCATCCACACCTGGTGGCATTTTAATGCAATATGGTCTATAACTTACGGGGCCAACCGACCAACATGTCAGAGGTTTTCTCCTTCACACACAAGCTTAGTCCTAATAAATCAACTAGGTGCAGTTTGACGACGGGGGGGGGGGCATTTTGCACTTTCGCTACTTCCCATCGACGTGTCGACCTATCTAGGCAGCCTCTTCTCGAGTTGACAGGTTTTACCATGATGGCTAGATGAGCTTGCTCCAGCTTCACAAGAGTTCACAGGTTTCGCCAGAGTGAGACTTGTAAACCGGAACTAAGGAAGCAATGATAGTACAAAATGCCCCCCCCCCTCGTCGTCAAACTGCGCCAACTACGTATAGTTGACAGTTAGTCGGAGCGGTGCCAGTAGGGTGGGAATGTGCCCGTTCGCGACTATCTCTACCGATACTGACCGCTTAGTGATCGATCTAGGAAGGAAATAGCCAGTGTTGGAAGCGCTGTGGGTGGGCTCATTCTAGCCCTCTCGACACGCCCGACTGATCCCAACGGTAGGGGTGGAGGAGTTAAATTTCCAGGGCGGGAGAAGATGCCATGGGCATGGTGGGTGGCGCCACTTGCGATCACTTCATCTCACCGTATGCTTCAGTGTCATTCAGAAATCACCAAATGGTAGACTATTCGGCACTTGTTGTCGTTCTCCTTCAAGAAGGGTAATGCGTAGATTGTATTGATGTTCGCACTTTCTCCACGGCCACCTTCGCTCCTTCAGAGGCCAGGACGGGTCACAAATGTCCCTGTCTTGCCGAATTGAGCTCTGCTCCTATTCCACTTAAAGGAAGAACCCGCGATTACTCGCCATCTCAGATGGTGGATTAGGGGGTTCCATATAGACGACAAGGGGTTGAGTAACTCGACTGTGAACAAAAAAAAAAGCACAAAAACATGCCACCTGCCCTAGATAGAACCCCATTTCGATCCCAGTTTGTACGTGCCTCAATCAACTCTATCTCCAAAACTATGCCTCATACCTCATATGCACGGCTGATTCACCGATAAGATTTCTACGATCGTACAAGTGGCGATTATCATGCTTTTTCGTCCTGCAATCTCATTTTTCACTGGAAGTCGGTCATTAGGGGCGGAGTCTGGAGGCGGAGTCACTGAAAAAGGAGGAGCCACTGAACCTATATTGCGCTACAGCGCCCCTCCCATAGAATTTTTTGCCGCGAAACCGGTACAAGGTTGTTCGTCGCGGACGCTCTACTAAGGCTTCTGCCCAATATTATTCAGAGGCTTCAATTACCTGATCGCAGACCGTGCCTTCAAAGGCAGTTGGCACGATAAATACTCAAAGGCGAGCAGGACTGATACGACTGGCATGGCTGAATTCCGTGACCCTGAACAGGGACTGCGTAGCGCCTTGTTCAAAAGGGTGTCCTTATACGCGCCTCATTGAGCAACAACATACCGACCCGGACCCCCACATCGCCCGCCCACCTACCCATTGGGACCTAGCATGCTAAAGCAAGAGGAAGTGCCGTGTGGACCGCCTTGCTAGTGTATGTACGATCCGTGACATGCGGTAATGTAGTTTAACTAGAGGACGTCTGCTGTTTTGCAGCAGTAAGCGGTGTTCAATCGGCAGACTGCGTTCGTTCACTGACCGCCGCAGTCAGGAGGAAAGAGGATTCCGTGATTCCCTCACCTTCTCGCCCCGTTTTTTCGCTGTTTCGGCATTACTGGGCACCTTAGCTTGTACATGAAATTATCGTGCCATCTGCCTTCAAGAACGGATAATAATTTCTTCAGCTACTAAAATACTTTGTGTTTGAGAAGGAAATCCATTCCGATTCGCTGCGGATTATGGGGCGTGATCGCGCGGGTGCATTTGGCACGCCGCCGAATCTATTCGTCATCACTTGCTTAGGCGGGTAAGTGACAGCAACTGTTGAAGAATGAAAACGACAGATACGGCGATATGAAACAGTTCTGTCGCCTGCCGAAAGAAAAAAAAACCGGGAAAAACGCCGGGCCAAACGCGGCCGCGCGGACACACCCCATCATCCGCAGTGAGCCAGACAATAAAATTCCTTCCTACTTCACAATGCAAGTACATGAAACTCACACCGCTTTTATGGGATGGGCGGCATGAGTAGAGATAATCTAGAGTCATTTTGAATCTTTCCAACGTCTAATTGAAAAGTGGACCTTACTCTCTCATTCGTGGTTCCTCTTACGATTAATGGCGTCTTGACCGCACGAGAGCTCTCTTGCTCACACAAAAAGGAGTGGGTAGTTGGGTAAGCGCCAGCCTCAGTTACTGTAACTCAGCACTTGTCAAAAATGCTAAGCCTTTGATATGCTATCATTTTTAGAGTGAATCGATTACATCGAATGCTGCGGAAGTGCTTTTTGGTCGCGTGGGTGCGGGAGCAGCTCGAACCTGCCGACAATGCTAAGAGGGCAGATCTCATTTCAAGTGAGTTGGATTTCGCATTCAAAGACTGATTTTTTCTAAAAACAGATCCTTCTTGGTAGATTAGATTACCCTAATTAATTGCTCGCTTGTTTCTATTGATATCAGGGAAGTACAGTCGTCATCCGGGCAGTTGATTAGGCGGTCAAAGGGTCGCAGACGCGGCTGCGGCGCGTCACGACCGCGGCGATCAGCTGTTTCCAGCCTATTTAGCCATTTTCTCCCTAATTTTCACTGTTATTTTTTTAAGGTAAGTTGTTTTTTGTCTTTATGAAGTACGTTAGGACCAAGGATTCTTTTTTTTTTGTAATGAAGTGTTTTTGCGATTTTTCAGGTATTTGTTTAATTGTTTGTTTAATTATTTAATTGTTCGCAAAAATTAGAGAAATCTCAATCATAATTTACCTTGTGAAGACAAGGAACAACTAACCTTAAGAAAAGCAGCCAAAAACAGTGAAAATTAGGGAGAAAATGGCTAAATAGGCTGGAAACAGCTGATCGCCGCGATCCTCCCCATGACGAGGTACGTGGCAAGAGGATCGTAATTCGCCGCGCTGATGGGCGTCGCGTGCGACGTCGCGCCCGCAAATGACGATGCTCTAGGTCGTAGATGGCGGCAAGGGGGAATGCAAAACAGAAAATAGTCATGAGTGCCTACAGCTTCGTAGCCCACGCAAAATCTGGTGCTCCAATCGACAGGCTAGGGCGAATTCAGAAGATTCCGCGCCCATCGCCGCGCGCGGCGGGGCGGCAAATTACGATTTCCTTGCCCGTCTCCCTGTAATAAGATGTGTTCACTCAATGAACCTCTAGCCCAGGATCCTTGACCTATAGTGACTGCAGTTTAGTAGCTGTGGTTATAAGAGTAAGGTAGAGATTGGCTCTGATCAGTCCCAATTGATCCCTATCACTTGTTACAGTTCTCATTTGTTAGCGTGAAAGTTGTACCATTGTAAGGAAACTTCAAAGTTAGTATCGTCGCAGTCCCAGGAGGGGGGTGGGCGTGGGTGAATGAGCCTGCTCTCAAATGCCTTTTCGACCAATAGTGGTCGCTAAGTGACCGCCAGCGACCACCAGCGACAATCAGCGTTCCAATCGGCAGCGACTAGAGAATATAGTCCTCGATTCAGCGAACGGCAGCATATATCAGGGTCTACCAGCGTTCACCACCGTCCACTCGAGGGCTAGGGAAGTATAGGAACCGCTGCAGCGTCCATCAGCGTCCAGAGGTACGGTATTGTGGTAGTACGGCGCAGCTATGCCTCACAATTTCATGACGCCTAAACCAGCTATCTCCTCCCTTTTACTTTTCCATAATCTACCAGTAGTCTGCTGCCCTCCTACTTCCTCTACACTTGGTGGCTGGTGGAGCTGGTAGACGCTAGATCCATATCCATACTTTCCTGCTCCATCGGTGGAAGCTGGCGGACGCTGGTAGACGCTGCCTTCGTTGGATCGATATCTTTACCTTCCTATTCGCTGGTGGAATCTGCTGCAGAATATGAACGCAGCCCAATGAGACCTATGAATTTTTCCCTGCGGTTCCTACAACACTATCAAATTTCGTTTCAGGAGTGTTATTCCCGTTATGTTTTATGGGATTCAATTTGCTCTACTGGACTAACTACTCACAATACCAAGTGTCTGCACCCCGGTAGTATCGATAAACAGACCAGCTCACATCATCAGAGACCGTCCGTCTATTCCTCAAGCTTGATGGCGGTTTCGAACGAATGTCGGAGTGAATGCACGAGTCAAAGGCTCTATCCTTCAGCTCATTTCATTGCCATAATTTTTCGTAGTCTTATTGGTGATATGGACGACGAATATGTTAATAATTATATATGCATATAAAGCACTCAGGTGTTCAGCGATTCGCTTCTAATGAATCGCTCCTTATTGTTTCCTTACGTTCAATTGATTCTTTGTGTCTTCAGTTCATTGATTGGTGGATTTGCGTCTTTTTCGATAAAAGTATTACTTCTCACAAAAGTTCCTCATTAATTCATTTCTCGCCGACTATAATAAGCATTCGCACGCTATGTGCCCTTAGGGCTTTGAGCAACGCTTCATTTCTCACAGCCGGCAAGAATAAAGTTAATTTTGAAACACTTAAGTACAAACTGAGAGGGGAGGAGGGAGTGGACTGGAGTTGTTCCCCTCACCCCTACTATTTTTGCACGGAGTGACAGGCAGGGGACGCCATAGCGTTGTGATCAATTTCTGCTAAATACGACCCCCTCCCTTTGAAACGGGTCTCGATACGTCCCCTCCGCTGCTAATCTTGTCCGCTGCTAATTCGGTAGCAGCGGACCAGATCAGTAGCGGACAAACAACTACCGAAAAATGAAAGATCTGCAAAATAAACGACAAAAAAATAAGCGACGTTAATCAAGGATAAATATGAGAAA